CCCTACACGACGCTCTTCCGATCCCCCCAAAACCCCAAAACCCCGTTGTTGGAAAATCGATACATGTGATTTGATGAATGAATTGAATTTTATTATCTGCTTATATAAATCTTATATATTCTGAGCATTATTATACAAAATGTTTATTAGAGTGGTCAGTTAAGCCACTTGATTTTCCTTCCGTTTTCCCACTCTCCTAGTCTTTCCTAGCCGTCCTTAGATATAAATTTTCCTCTTCCGTGTTGCTTTCCGTCTTTCCACTGACCATCATAAACTCTACCATCTTTCCATGTGAATTTACCCTACCCTTCACGCTTATCGTTGACAAAGTAACCTTCATATTTTTTACCATCTTTCCATATCAGGACACCATATCCATGCATCTTGTTTTTCTCCCATTGACCTTCATAGGTTTTCCCGTCAGGCCATACGTATCTACCTTTACCAGAGATTTCATTCTACACGAAATCACCAGAGTATACTGAGCCATCAGCAAAAGTCAATGTACCCTTGTTATGTTTTTTGCCCTCAAAGTACTAACCTTCGTACTTTGCTCCATCTGGCCAGGTTTCAGTTCCTTTACCATGTTGTTTATCATCTTTCCACTCGCCATTGTAAGTTGCTCCATTGGCGTGAGTGTAATTTCCATGCCCATGCGCTTTATCATTTTTCCACTAGCCTTCATAAATATCTCCATCAGCATGAATCAGCTTTCCATATCCATTGGCCTGATCGTTTTTCCAGTCTCCCTCGTATTTTGAACTATCTGGCCAGACCTACTGTCCATAACCATCTTTCATTCCGTTTAACCAACTACCTGTGTAAATAGCTCCATTAGCCAAAGTCTGAGGAGGCAATGATTCGCTCTGAGTTCCCTGATTGTTATTATTCGCTCCCTCCCCGAATGTGGGTGCTCCGCTCTTGTTTTTATCTTAATAATACTTTTATTCTTAATTATTTGATGTACCTTCGAAATATTTGTTATCGCTGCTAGATTGATTGTTATTATTGAGCTTTCTTGGTTGCGACTTGCTGCTTTGATTTCCATTCTAATTCCCGTACACTTCCTCGTAGGCGAATCTGTCGTTATATAGTTCATCTTTCTCCTGTAGAGCACTCTTGACCTTGTCGGTAGTAAGCTTTTTTTGTTGAGTCTCCCCATCCTAGTTACTAGTCATGCAAAAACCACTGCAATTTCCCATTTATTATCCTGATTATTATAATTTTAATTATAACAATCATTTTATTTGCACTTTCAAATTATTCATAGCTCTTCTTAAACACTTATTCATGATTCGGGGTTTTGGGGTTTTGGGG